GGCGGCGGCGGCGGCCCAGCAGAGAGAATCGGTTGTGCCTGAGTCGACTTTGGCTGGTATCGAGTCAATTTTGTTGCATCCCTCGATTCGCCCGCTCTCTCGATCACCAGTCCCTCCACCGGGCTCACAGCAGCCTTCAGGCGCCGGCCACCCGGCCAACTCACCATTTTCCCGCGCTCACAATGCTCTTGCTCACGTCTCGCCAGCAGTCTACACGGCTCTCATCGACCAGGCTGTCCCTGCCGGTCCAGCAGTCCTGCACCAAGTTCTCACAACATTGCCCGGAATCCTTTCGCACCACAACTACCTGCAGGTTACCATCGAGAAAGAGCCGTCGCCCTTTGTCCGTGCGCAGCTCGTGCAGGTTGTTGTAGATGCGCAGTTGTCTCAGCAACGTGCCAGTGTTGCTTCCCTCACCCAGGAGAATGGAACAGAGCTACACCAGCAGACTGGTGGCAGTTCCACGGCAGCGGTAGCAGGTTCATCTGATCCCTCAGCTTCTTCAAGCGCTTTGCCTACACCGCAGATTCCCCAATTTGATGCATCGATGCCACAGCTAGACCACACCATGGCTACAGGTCCTAGCCTACCAACGCCAACGCCACACATGGGCCAAGCTCAGCAAACTGCCCTGCCACATACGGCCCCAGCCCTACCGCCACACCCCACGGCGGGGCCTCCTCAAGATGCTTTGCCCGCAGAAAATGAGGCTCAACCTGCTGCGGGAGTACACCACCCTCATATTGTGGCCCCAGAAAACGGTGCGGCTCGTGTATTCAAGCTCCAGTTCGATGCTCGGAAGATCGTCTGCTGTAGTCAAGCACCCGTGATCGTTGGATGGGATTTTTGTAACGGTGATCCTGAATTGGAAGAGGCCAGTCGCTTCTTTGCGACTATTGATTGAGCAGTAGGCAGAAGGAGTATTCATTCATGCATAGAGTATCGGAGCATTTGAAAGCGGAATTGGAGGTACGGAACGAAGCATTGCATCAATAAGGGCGTTAAGCTGAGGGGAGGATAATATTTTAATAATTATTGCCGAAGGAGCGTGGGCATGCTTCCATGTCTTCTCCCGGGTTCATCACACTACTAGGCCATGAATATGGTTAATAAGCTTGATGGAAACGATGCAAGGGGTGTATATGATTCCATGTATACTGCGTCTTTTGGTGATGAAGCCTAGAGACCCTGTGTTGATGAACGACAGTTCCTTTCATGATAGCCCTGGCTAGGAGGATGCCGAGGAACGATACATTAAATTCAACTAATTCAAACGCCACAATTTGCTAGAACACCTAAAATGACCTGTTTCTGATATGACCTGCTTTAACTCCCCAATCGTTGTGTGCTGAGGTTTCGATGACTATCCAGCGGCCTGTTTCACCTTGTCTTCGGTCTGAGGAGGTTCGTCTACAAACTCAGGTACTACCTCATCCTGTAAAAAGCTTGGAACTCCCCCACCCATCTCCTGTTCCAGCTCCTGCTCCAAGCCCAATGCTTCGAGCTCAGCATCAAGTTCGCTCTCGCTGACCTCGTCGGGGATATCGTAGCCGCGGGCCAGGCTCTCCTGTATCTCGTTGCCGGCGTCCATCAAGTCGGCCATCTCATCCTGCAGCCTCTCGATCTTGTCGATGTCGATCTTGCCGTACTGCTTCCTCAGCTCCTTGTTGGTGGTCTTCATGGCGTCGACCTGCGTCATGACGTTCTTGAGGTTGTCCTGCATGTTCTGCGCCTGCTCCAGGTTCCAGACCTGGCTCTCCAGCTGGTCCTTCTGGGCCTCGTACGCGTTGCGCTTCTGCAGGACCTTGCGGGCCTTTTGCTTGATGGCCTGCTTGCCGGGCCCCTCGCGCATCTGCGAGAGCTTCTGCTGGTAGGCGGCCAGCTCGCCGTTTATGGCCTTGAGCTTGGTGTCGATGGCGGCGATGCGGGTGTCGTTGTTGGAGATGGCGCTGTTGAGGGTGGGTTTGGGCCCTGCGGGCTTGGAGCCGAAGAGGCGATTCATGTTTTGTGTGCAGCGTGCCTGCTTAGAGGGAGGGGGAGGAGGAGTCTGAGGGGCGGCGGTGATGTGTTGATATGCGGCGGGCTCGTAGGGGTTGAAGCTGGGTTGTCGCCGGGGTTGAGGATGGGTGGTTCGTTGAGGTATGACGTTGGAGGCAGACGAGGCTCAATGCGGGACGGGTACCCAAGCGTCAGGTGGAGGGGCAATTTGCCTCGTGCCTCTGCCCTTCAAGGAAAAGTACCTACCCTAAAGCTATGGAGGCTGTACGGATAAGCCAGCAAGCACATTATACTTATCGCCATTTGTATATGTATCTACCTACTTGCTTACGTATTTATGTAAATTTTAATCTGAGAGAACATATCTTTTATTTTGATATGTTGAAATTACTAGTTTAATGTAATGCTGATGACCCTCCTTCTATTTATATCGGCCCTCGCTGCCGGAATACCCCCGTATGAGATCCATACAATATTTCCAGCCAAGGGCTTTAACTCGTCCCAGGCCATCAAATCGCTACAGCTGTTCCTCGGACAGCCAGTCTGCTACACAGCAATCGCCCGTCGGCTGGTAACGAAGCGATCAATCGTCTTGACGACAGTCATATTGGCCGGCTTCACAGTTATTGCTTGCCGCGGCAGCAGACAGCCAATTCAGCTTCACAGCAATTCTTCGTCGTCACACCGTTTAGAGGCATTGAGCAATGATAACTTCACTGAATTCAATTGAAAGCCCCCTACTTGGCCCGCTAATCTATATTATAAAGCTGTCCGACTCTAGCGACTGGCCCATTCAAGTATTAGAATAGCCTTGATTTAAACTGGTTCCAAGACATATGAATATCATCTTCTGCGTTATACCCGTACGCCCACGCTTGCGTAACAGGGTCAGTCCACTGATTTGGGCTTTCCGATATGGGGAGCCCCTTGACCTCCGGCTTCATAGCTTCGTCTCTTGCGGCCTGTTCAGGTCCGTCATCGAAGTGCCAGATTTTGCCATTGACGAGACTGGCTTCCTGCATCTGGCCGGCCCGTCTTCTTCTCACAATATCGAAGACGGATAGGGCTCTGGGGAGGTCAGAAATGGTGCACACATGGGACAGAGCCGCTGCTAGTGCTGCACCGTCTTCCACGGCCATGGCGGCGCCTTGAGACATGTAGGGGACCATGGCGTGGGCTGCGTCTCCCAACATGATAACCTTGCCGGATTGAGATATCCAACTAGGGATGGAAGGGTCGCCTGAGAGAAGGGGCCACTTGATTGTCTTGTCAATCATTGCAATGATCTTTGTGAGTCTGTAAGCGGCTGGTCAGCGGGCGAGCATATACAAGCATGGTAGAATAGGCTCCATACACCGGGTCCCAACCCTCGAATTGGGCTCTCATGTTGTCCAATGAATCTTCAGGGCGCCAGGTGGCGGGATCGGTGTCATCTACATGAGAGAGAACCAGATTGAATGACTTTCCTGCGGCGATTGTATATGACATTACATGGCGCTGCGGCCCGATCCAAACGTTGAGGGCCGGCTCACGTAGAAGCGTAGCTGTTTCAGGGTCATCCCTCATCTTTTGCGCATCTATTGTTGACCGATATACTGCAAACCCGGTCCGGATAGGGTCCTTATTATCTTTGCCCAGGATAAGCTTGCGGGCAGCCGACTTAACCCCTGTTTACTAGTCAGATCATCACCAAGTTACACGCGGAGAGGGGGGGGAGGACACTCCATACCATCGGCTGCGACGATCAAGTCCGATTTCAGAATCGTCCCGTCTTGCATCTTGATAGAAGGCACCATCTCGTTATACTCGGTAACTCTACTATTTAGCTTTACTGTAACCCCGAGTTTGACGGCAGTTTCATGCAAGGCTTCATGCAGATGGGCCCGATGGATCACATAGTACGGTGCCTCAAAGGAGCTTCGAAAGTCTGGTATAAGCCTGGTATACCCAATAGCGTTTCCAGTTTCCCATCTGCGGAAAGTTATTCCTCGTGGCTCAACCGCCTTGCCCTCGAATAATGGGCCTAGGCCCCATTTCAGGAGCAGCCTGGAGGAGTTGGGGGGGATCTGAATACCCGCGCCAACCTAGGAAACAAGCCTTAGAAACCTGGAACTGGGGGGTTTGAGTGGCACAGGATGGACAAACCTCAGCAAGGGCTGACGCTTGCTCTAAAATTGTGACAGCGTGGCCCTCCCGAGCGAGGGCAATCGAAGTGGCAAGCCCGCCAATGCCGGCTCCGACAACAGTCACTTGGAGCTGTAGTTTTTGGTCGTTGTGTACGCTTTCGACACTCGAGCAGGCTTCTGGGGACTTTGCTTCCAATTTTCGGAGGAATTGGAGGCTGCGCGTAGGGTATGAGGCTCGCTAGACGTCTGTTAGCAATGAGAGCTCTGCATGCACCATGGTAACTTGCTTTGATCGAGGTGACTATGGCGGGAGTAGAGCCCTTTCGAGGCTCGGGTTCGATTCGCGAGGAAGTGATAGCCGGAACTGCGCTGGGAGCCATCTTTGAATCTTGTTTTATTCACAGTAATGGAGAAAAGAATATGCAAGGTATTAGCTCACTAACTGAGAGATGGCGAGAGCTTGATAGTTTAAACGCGAGATATATTTGTCCTTAATTAAAGCTGGCTACTCTTTGTCGCTCGGAATAACAACTATATTGTTACATGTAGTTATGAAACTGTTCCGATTTACCCCCGAGATACTATCAAGAAGCCTCGGGGGTGTATCGGGCCGTCCGTGACGCCCAAGCCTAGAATACTGCAGGCAGCAAAGGTTATTATATCTTTCGAGCTTTGTTTAAGACCATTATAGAGGGTGTTCACACACCAGCAGGCTAATGTATCGAGCAAGAAACAGCCCACAAACGCTACTCCAAGATTCCATGCTCATTACCAATCGTGAATAAGATGGCTACCCAGGCAGAGAATAGAGAAGAACAAACCAAGGAGCTGCTCTCGGAGCTCTAGTCAACGCACACCTTACCCTTGTGGGCACAAATGGCCAAGCTCAACCCCCCGGCTCCCAATCCAACCGCCATTCCCCATGTCTGGAAGTATGAAGAGATTAAGCCCTACCTCCTCCGTGCCGGAGAGCTTATTACTGAGAAACAAGCGGAACGGAGGGTTTTGATGCTGATCAATCCGGCGCGAGGTACGGTGAAAGAGTGAGGCATGGTCAAGACGCCTCGTTCTTGTTTAATCTTGGTTAATGTGCCGCGCTGACTACGATTTCTAAGAGGCCCCGTATACCACAGACACGGTCTACGCCGGTCTTCAGCTCGTCATGCCCAACGAGGTTGCCCCGGCCCACCGCCATACCGCCTTCGCCATGCGCTTCATCATCGAAGGCAGCGGCGGCTTCACCGCCGTCCACGGCTGTCGGATCAAGATGAAACGCGGCGACGTGATATTGACACCCACGTGGAACTGGCACGACCACGGCAAGGACGGCTCCGGGCCGATGATATGGCTGGACGGGCTCGACCTCCCAAACTTTAGGCACTTCCCCGTGCACTTTGTGGAGCATTTTGACCAGCCGAGATACCCCGCTGTGGATGTCAACTCGGACGACAGCCCGATTGTGTTCCCTTGGGTCAACATGCAGCAGCAGCTAGACTCTGCCGAGGGGAGCTGGGTCACAAAGCCGTATCTGAAGGCGGATGGACGCGAAGGTGAGCCGCAGGGGTTCTGTCTATGTACACAACTATAGGTCTGCTGTTGACTAACTCGCCCGTCCACAGTATCGAAGATTCTAGGCGGGTCTGCCGAGAGACTCAACGCTGGGGCTCGGTCACCGGCCATTCGTGAAACTGCATCCTCCGTATACCACGTTGTCGAGGGCAAGGGTAAGTCCGTTATCGCTGGGAGGACCTTGGAATGGAAGAAGGGTGACACTTTCTGCATCCCTGCATGGCATGAATATGTTCATCATGCGTACGAGGGCGAGACGGTATATCTGTACCGCTTTGATGATAAGCCTATGCTGAGGTCATTGGGCTTTCTAAGGTCAGAGGGAGTGGATGTTGAGTCTCTGGTGTCTGACTAGGAGGCACCGATTCCATTCTGTAGCTGTAGCCGAACCTCAGGCTTGTGGCTCAGGCTCTGAAGCCTGAAAAGTAGCCCGCCGCATTCAATGTTCAACTTTACCTGTATCTTACCATGTGAGTTGAATATTTGTCTATAATCTTGATAGCGGACCTGTGTCATGGGTCAAAAGATTGGAATTATGCCTGGCGCTGTGCCACATCGACGGTTGGAGTTTTCGTGGAGGTACGAACAGTTTGGAAGTTAACGCTATGGTTCGTTTGTTGATGCCTAGCGTGTGTACATCAGTTGAGGGTGTGTAGTGGAAGGGATGAATCATTGTTGCTTGGATTCTCATTGAGTGTCACAAGTCAATGCCTGCAAAGCAGTCCTAAGCTAAGCGAAGCTCGCTTGTCTTGATGGAAGACAAATCAGACAGGTCCGCAGCTTCGGTCAATTAATCCACTGCGACCCAGCCTCGACCGGTCCTATCCGAGCATCATGTTCTTAAACAAACCCTGTGCGCGAGTTTCCACCACCCAAAGATCCCACGGTCTATCATATACACCCTGCGTCGTAGCCGAGCTATCGGTAATCTGCTGCACCGAGAGCCCGTTCACAGCCTCTTGCAAACTTGCATTGTTCGGGTGAGCCGCGAGTTGGAGCATGTGAGAGGTTGTCTGGATTCTGGCATTCTTGAGAGTGAAGACGGCCCGAAACACAGCCTCCTTGATGTTCCTGCCGAGCACTGTGAAGCCATGACATCGCATGAGTACGACATTGTGATTGGGTAAAGGAGTAGCGCTGCTAGACGCCGGGTCATGGTTTGAGAAACACGAAGCCAAAGCGGCCCCATGCCGGATATCCTTTACCAACAGATCGTGCAGCTCCCCGGTCTGGTAAGAAGCCTCAATGTCATATATTGGTGTTTCTATGCCTGTCAACCCCCCTGGAATCAGTAAAGTCTTAGGCAGTTACGGGCCAAAACACGGGGCTGTACCGAGGAAACCTGCCATGTGGAAGGCCGGCCGAAGCTTCACGTCGGTGATGGCGTAAGGCAGCACCTCTTCAGCGTGACTATGCACCACGCAGTTGACCTCCTCGTATCTCTTGAATATTTCAGAGTGGATGAATCGCTCAATGAAGTGCTTTGAGGATGTTTCTCGCACCGGCGACCCATCGGATACACGATAGTGTATAAAGTCGGCTTCCGAGCTCACCAACGCAGGTGCCATGTTTGCAGACATGATGAATGTACCATGATCATGAGGATGGCGCACTGAGATGTGGCCGAACGCATCAACCACACCCTTGGAGTAAATGATATGGTTTGCGACAATGAGATCGCTTAGAAGCTATCGTAGGCACCCGGTCAGCTTGAGCTGACTACATAACAGGTCAGCGGTCCCCATGTTGAGAGCTTGCCCTTACCTGTTTGAGGGGAGTGGCCATTTTGGAGCTGATCGTCTAGCAATTCAAGGCACATGCAGCCTACACAAGGTTAAAGCGCTCACTCGTTCTGCGCTGGAAATGAGAGCATACATCAGGCTTTTGGGCTGGTGTAAGCCGGGACAACGAGCCGATTTACCCCCTAACGCGAACCGCCACCCACCAGCGTCGTAAGCACTTGACCCATGAGAGTATCCTTTTGTTCTCGCTGGTTATTACGGCAGGAAAGTTCGTCCCGCCCGCAAATTTAGTTCGGAGCCATAGCAAACGATGTGTGAGGGAGGGGACAGCGGCAACTGGAGAACAACGCCGCCCTATCAAGTGGTCAATGGTTCTGAGGGATCAAAATGTGTGTAGAAACATGTATTGTTATTCAGCCTCGACAAAACTAGCTAATGAGATTCCTCCCCTAGCGAATGGATAGGCTCCAAATCTACAAGACCACCCTTCGTGCTGTCTACGAGTCAAGTAGCTTCTCCCCCAAGAGCAGGAAAGCCTTCAAGGCCGCCATCGGAATTCAGGATGCTTCCATTCAAGATCGTCAATACTCTGCTCTGACAGGCCGCTGAGTTCGGCTGCGGCGTCGCGGCGCTCCCTGCGCGCGTTGTCCCACTTCATAAAGAGTAACAGGCCGATGGACAAAAGGAGAATCCCGGAGCCACACCCAACGCAGATGCCGTTGCCGAGACGAAAGTCAGGTGCACCCGAAGGGAGATACGTCCAAGTGGCGACTAGGCCTCCGACATTGGACCCGAGGTTGGCCAGCCCGATGGCGACGTTGCGGGATGAATCCGACCGGCAGTTGGCCGCGGCTTGCGCGTTGTTAAAGGTCCCCTGGTTGAAGGATCCCATGGCGATGAGGAACGTCCCGGCATAGCGAACCATGGACTGCGACGAGTCTGTGCCCAGAAACATGGAGTAGCCGGCAATGATGAATGGAGACCCTGCAATGAGGAAGATTTGTCTCCGGTCGATTCGAGAGCTCAACCACGGCAAGGATATGGCGAAGAAAGCACCTAATATATAAGGTGGCGCGGAACGAAGCTGCTGCGTGATGATTGATTTATTGGGATAAATGGTCCTGACGATGGTAGGGAGGAAGATGCTGAAGCTTTGAACGATGACGCCAATCAACAGGAAGTTGAAGAACGTGGTCAGCGTAGAGGGCGAGAGGACACCGAGTTTCAGCTTCTTCAAGTTCCACTTGTCGACGAGTTCAATAGTCCCCTGGCGCTCAACCTTGAGGCGAGTCATGGCCAGCTCTCTCTCCTCTTCTGTGAGCCACTTCGCTGACTGAGGGCTGTCAGTCATTGTGAAAAAGGCAATGACCCCCAATCCAAAGGTGATGATACCCTCGACAAGAAAGATGATCCGCCATGTTCTCAGGCTGCCGACGGACTCGAGTGAAAGCAGCCCAGAGGCGAGAAGCCCTCCGAATGCCCCTGAGAGGGGGGGCATGACCATGCACACGGCAACGCGGAAGGTGAGCTCGCTCCGCCGGTACCAGCGAGAAAGATAATAGGCGATGCCGGGCAATACTCCAGCCTCGGCGATCCCGAGGAGAAATCTGACGGCATAAGCTGCGCCTAGGCTCTGGACAAAGGCCATGCACAGAGTCAGCAGGCCGAAGGCGGCGGTTGTGCCTGGCAAGAACCAGCCGGGCCCGATGAGTTTGCAAGCAAACGTGCAGGGCATTTCCGCAATGATGTAGGCTACGTAGAAGACGGCGAGAAGCTTGTTATAGTCGTAGCCGTGCATGTCGAGATCCTCCTCAAGAGTGCTGATTCTAGCATTGCCTATTGAATGTCAGTTTTGGTCAGAGTGAAAAAAAAAGACAACTCGTCAACAGGTTCCATACCGATGTTAATGCGGTCCAGAAAGCAGAGAAGGTAAATTATGGCAATGTTTGGAGCCACATATCGATCGATCTTGTGACGCAGCCGTGTCTCGGCAGCTTCGCGCTCTGCGTCGTGCCTGTATCAATGCATCAGTCTCTCTGTCTCTAGCTGTGAAGGCATAGAAGAGCAGCGGCTACGATCAAGGAAATGACAGGCAACATACCTGGACGTTGCATTATGCTCAGGCCGTATTGCGTTCTCGACTCGGATTTCTTGCTGCTTGTCAGACTCGGTGCTGGCTTCGGGGATTCGCTCCTTTTCATCCATTATGGTGGATGTCGTTGGTCGTTCTGCAAAGTAAAAATCTGAGATAAGAATCGTGTATGAACCAAATTGTATCGAAAGGTTGAAAAGGTTGAGACAGCTCATAAGCATACGAAGTTGAAGTGCCTTGGCTAAGTACTCACGGCGCCCAGGCTACGAATCAGCGAGCAGAGAGGCTATTCCCATCTATTGTAAGTGTGCCGGGCGTTCCCCGACCATCGGGTAACAGACGGCCGTGCCTCCGGGGGACATGCGGATGGGGTATATATTCCCCACGGGGAAGCTCAAGATGGACAGCCAAGAATAAATCTGGCCTAGTCTGCTAGTCTTACCGGGGGATGAATCGGGAGTAATTGTGTGTCATCACAACACGGAGGAGGGCGCATCGTCGACCCAACATCAAGAAACAAGGAAGTGGAAGCAGGTTGACGATGCTTTCAGGGGGTCAACATGATCCGCTATCTAGCAGGATCTCACATGGAAAATTCCCACGGAGCATATTAACCACCTGACATTGGGGAGTTTTAGGGGTCTATCCCACGTCTTCAAATCCTTGGCCGACCAGAAGTGTCACCTCCAATCCATGCCAATATTATTACCTCATATTCGAAGAGTGTTGAAAAAGGGCAGAGAATTATCAACTTTGTCCTTGCAGCCCAATGTCTCTTCGCCGTTGGGTTTCTAAACTACATTGATTTTGCAACTAAATCAAGTATGTATGGAAGCGTCCTTAAAACTTGGATACGCCAATAATCTAGTATACCACCTTGTCAGGAAACGATTTCAGTCTGATGCCAGCCGAAGCCCGTAGTAAAAGGTGATAGCTGAAAAGAATCTCTTTTCCTCTTCTCCAGAGTGTGGATTTAGCCTTAGGGAGACACCGTAAGACATTCGAATGCGCTCTGGTTGTATTTCAAGCCCATTACGGCCTCCCTTCATGAGATCACTTCTGCCAGATGAGCAGAGAGTAACATGCACAACCTTGGAGGAGTGAACTCACGGACCTATGGCCACAGCGATGGAGCTGTTTGCAGGAGCTAGGACGAGACACAGTATTGGAGCGACAACGTTTCGCGGTCTGGGCCGGGCAGTTGAGCCGATGTGTTGAGATGATGAGGTGAGTATGATAGATTTATGATTATTTAACACTGGATAGGTTAATGCTGTCTCTTTGTGACCATCGAACCTTTGACGCGCTGTAGATAGAATCACTATGAGCATGATTTAAGGAGGTGTCTTTGCAGGTGGCATTGACTTTGAGCAACGGAAACTATAGATACTAAAGCTTGACGTGCACAGCCTTCGTCTGGGTCATCTCCCGCATTTCCTCGAAGCAATCCTCTCTCCCAATACCGGACTGCTTGTATCCTCCGTAGGGCATTCCAAAGTAGTGCTTGCTGGTTGTGTTGAC